TTTGGATCATAATATGTATAGTAAAATTCGCAACAAGAACACGAACATCCATAAGAAATATATATTTGAACATAAAATTAGAGATCACAAAAGAACAGTCATAGATTAGTTATACATAGTCATGGAAATAGTTCTTGAATCGCTTTATTACCGTTCTTGGCGTGGGCATTCATATTCATCTCTCTTACCATTCTAAAAGCTATCTTGGGTATTGATTCTGAGCCAAGAAGAAAGGAAAAGAAAATGTGGCTGCCTTTCCTCACCATCGACTTATATACTATCATCCAGAAAAGTAATGTGTACTCTTTCATCTTCCAATTTCAAGAACTGATAAACAAAGATAAATTAAAATCTGACAAGTGTATAGAGTTAAGACGTTGGACGATCATATTGTAGATCATTTTTTAATAATGTTTGGATTTGTTTCCCCAGTTCCTAAGCAGAGATAATTGTATTGTGATTTTGATCAGAGGCGCATGATTGATGTTGTCAGTCTCTCTCTTCCTGTATGGCCAATTGCCTGAAAAGCGTAACATCAACTATGTGCGTAGAATGGCTGTTACTCTTTGAGAACTTTCATTAAAAAACTCACTCCAAAGACATCAGGCTTGTACTCTCTCTTTCACTCTCACTCTCTCTCTCTCTACCTCCCTTTCCTCTCTTTCTCTCCTGTCCCCGTTTTTGTGACTAGAAATTACTTGCAGGAAACCGCGCATAGTCAGCAAGGGCTTATCAATATTGATAGAAAGCGAGAAAGGAAATATTTGCCTTCACTAAACTGAAAAGCACATGTGCCCCTTTATTTATTTTTTTGATCATTTATTTATTTTTATTCCATTACTCATATATCAATTTGCTTTGTTAGTGAGGGAAATTAGTCACTGTACAACGGCGATATTACTGACATCTAACGCTAAAGATGTCATGCAAATATCTAACTCTTTATTTTAGTAGAACAATGCCAGGCTATAGGGTCTAAAGGGGCCTTATAACATTTCCCCACCATCAGCACGCATACCATTTGTGACTTCGTCGTATTTCTTGACATTCTTGTGACATCTCTTACACATCTGAGCTGGCATGTTTGTAGCATTCATTCAGTGGTGATCTTAGCATTTTCTAGTGCTTACATTGTGGAAACAATCCTTCCCTGGAAATCTGAAGATGGTCTGGGTGTCTCTAGAAGCCTTCTAACTTCTTGATGGAGCCTTTTAAAGTATTCATGTTTTTCTACGGTTTAGGAAAATGGATAGACAGATGGCTTTGTTGACCTTGAATCTAGTTGGAGCTGCCAGGCCATGGCTGAGAAAACACTTAGTCTTCAGTTTACTAAAACTTGTACTGGCAAGTCTTATCGTGTTCTGTAGCTCGTCTTCAAAACTGCAGCTAAGTTAAAGGGTGTTTAAAATATTTGCAAAAGACGACAGTTTTCAAACTTTGATGTCCGACGGCGGGAGGGATTACTTTGTTCTAGCCTGGTTGGTCTGAAGACTAACTTAGTCCCTCCATTCTACCGGTACTAATGGACATTCCACCAGCAAAGCAAAAATTTTGTTGACATTGTAGATATGCTGAAGCGTCCGACACTAAGCAATAAAAACAGCATGGACAAAACCTTGTGCCATGCACAGATAAAGGCTGGAATGAGAATGAATATCTTCATAGTGGAAGAGCTGAATTTGATCAACACAAATGCAGATAACTGGTTAAATACTTCTTGTGTTAAGATATTCCTTCTCATTCATGATGTTCTTAGCAACAGAAGCATATCACAAGACTGACTTTGAGTTCAGGTATTAATTGGAGCTTGAAGTTCTTAAGGATTCGACAAATTACCATCAAAGCGGTAATTGGTAGCTGTGCCTTTTCTGGTGCTCAGGTTGGAGTGAGCAGGAAGAGATATTGCAGTCATATGGAGGGTGAAGAAAGTGTCGATAAGGGCAAATCTCTGTTTGACCCTGTAGTCACTTCAAACAATGAAGTTCTCTAACTCTCGTTTTTGCCATAAACTTTGAAAGAAAGTCATTTTCCATTAATCCAAAAAGTTTCTCTACTATGATGTCAAGGGTCTTAGCCAAGTCGAGAAAGACAATATAGATATTAAAACACAGTTTACTAGTCTATTTAAAAAGTTGGCAGGCAACCAGAAACATATCTATGGTGCTCGAATCCTTGCAAAAGCTACATTGGGTTTCAGGAAGGACAAGGTCTGCTAGAGATGTCGGAAGCCTGTGGAGTTTTTAAGCAATGACAAAAGATCTAAGCCTACATATTCGCCACTGCCCACAGTTAAAACAAATAAACCCAATCATAATGCAATTTAGATAATGAAAAGAAAGAAGTATTTATGAATAATACAAAGAACAGTCCCTTTTTATTTGGGGGGGGGGATAAAAGGTTTGTTTTGCATTGCTTTGTGGCATCCTTTAGCCAATGGTAAAGGATGCCACACAGATTTTGTAAGATAACACCTAGCATTTAAAGAACCACAGGCAATGTTGAATACACAGTCTTTTTTCTGTAAGGCCACAACAATTGTTCTTTTTCTTGAATAGCGAGCAAGTCTGGTGATAATGAAATGTCGGCGGGAGGGGAAAAAATCCCTGCACCAAAATAAGACAAGTGTACCTCCTACCTTCCAAAGATCAGAAGTAAAGGAATGTATCAGTTCCAGCCCCACCTGGAGGAAGTACAATTCTGTCTTACTACAAGTCTTCGAGGAGTTGAATGAAAACAGACAATGAATTCTTTCAACCAGAATTTATTATTTTGAAAAGCAAAATAAAAAAATATTCACGATAGACAATAGACATTACAAGATGCATGAAAGTAAGGATTTTCCACCAAGTATATTTCATTTTTGTTTTGCGGGGGAAACGACACAAATACACAATGAATCATAGACAAATTATTATTTTTTTTTTTTTTTTTTTTTTTGAGGGGGGGGAGGGCTACGTCTCCCGCGAACGTCATAATATCGCGAGATATTTGAAAGTACAAATTCGGGATTTTATTTATTTATTATTTATTATTATTATTATTATTATTATTATTATTTTCTTGGAAAGCATATCCATGGTGCTCGAATCCATGCAAAAGCTACATTGGGTTTCAGGAAGGACGAGGTCTGCTAGAGTTGTCGGAAGCCTGTGGAGTTTTTAAGTAATGACAACTAAAAGATCTAAGCCTACATATTCACTACAGCCCACAGTTAAAACACATGTAACAAACAAATAAACCCAATCAAAAGGCAATTAAGATAATGAAATGAAGGAAATATTTACGAATACAAAGAACACAGTCCTTTTTTTTTGGGGGGGGGGGGATAAAAGGTTGTTTTGCATTGCTTGAACTTTGCTAAGATGCCTTTAAAGTGGCAATTTTGAATACACTGTCTTTTTCTGTAAGCCACCTTTTTTTTTTTTTTTTCTTCTTCTTCTTTTTTTCTTCTTCTTTTTGAATAGCGAGCGTCTGTGATAATGGAATGTTGGCGGGGGGGGGGGAGATAAAATAAGTGTACCTCCTACCTTCCAAAGATCAGAAGTAAAGAAATGTATCAGTTCCAGCCCCACCTGGAGTAAGTACAATTCTGTCTTACTACAAGTCTTCGAGGAGTTGAATGAAAACAGACAAAGAATTCTTTCAACCAGAATTTATTATTTTGAAAAGCAAAATAAAAAAATATTCACGATAGACAATAGACATTACAAGATGCATGAAAGTAAGGATTTTCCACCAAGTATATTTCATTTTTGTTTTGCGGGGGAAACGACACAAATACACAATGAATCATAGACAAATTGTTTTGATTTATTATTATTTTTTTATTATTATTATTATTATTTATTTATTTATTTATCCCGGGGACATCATAATATCGGCTGGAAATTTGAAGAAAGTAAAAATTCGGGATTTTTATTATTATTATTTTCTTAGAAATAAATGCGGCGGGTCCGCTATTTAAGAAAAAAAATGCTGTGGGCTAAATTGCAACAGGGATATCAGTGTAATTAGGTTTAAATAACTATGATATGCCTTTGTTCCCCATGTACTGATACGTGCAAATCAATTTTGGTTAAATGTCTCAGGCCTAATACTGTATGGATCAGTACAGAAGCCTTTACAAGTCTTTAAAAGGTATTTCTTCATAATGTGATAATCTATAGGAATATCACAGTACCTTTAAATGTGGGTTGGCTGTACCTGTATTGTTATGTAACTATTATTTGTACGTTTTGATATATTGATTATAATCCTACTCATTCTAGTTTTTTTCTGCTATTGTTTCCCGTTAAAGCTATTTTTTGAGTATCATTCTGAATGATATATTTAGTATATAATATTTTTCATCCAGGATGCAACAAAGATTTTGAAAATGGATTTATTTCATCAATATATATAATATATATATAATTATATATATATATATATATATATAATTATATATATATATATAGTATATATATATATTAGCAAGTAGGCCATCTGTTGAAACGTGTAGCATGGCTATGTTACCCAGCTGTTATCAGTTTGTTTGTTTTTTTTTTTCATTATTATCCTACTTGTAAGATAATGAAATAGAAATACAAACAAGGATCAGATATGACACAACAACAGCCATCCATAGTGGTTGGCCCGCGATACATATAGGGAGAACCGCCATTCAGCTCCAAATAAACACTGGAAATAGTGCGGCGGGTTATACACACACTTTGCAACTCACTTCTGGGAGGACCAGCATATATGTGCTAAAGAAGGAAGCACAAACGAATCATCGCTTCTCACTCTTTTGTCATTTTGTATATAGCCGAATTTGTGCCAGCACGTTAAAAGTTGATTTCCGTGTAAGCGCAGCATCGGGACCGCCAACTACACAATTAATTCAATATAGCAAAGTGGCGCAGCTGACCAAAAGAGAGGCATGTTATACTCTTGGCATTATTTTCCATGAGAAGTCATTGTCTTGCAAATGTGAAACCAGTTCAGGTGTGGTTGTCAGT